AAAGTGCCAAAGCAGTAAAATAAGAAAATGCAGGATTTTCATCCTCTGGTCTTCCTTTGAATGCCACCAATGAAAAAATCAGAAAAGGCTCCTCCAGTTTGGCATAAGAAAACATGAAAGAAATTAAAAAACAAAATCAGCAGAAATAGTTTTATTTTAAAACACTTTAAATCTACTTGTATACTTGTATCCAGTCCCATAGTGGAAATGCTAATTTTTCAGCTCAATCTTCTCCTGATTTCTGCTAGCAGCTTGTTCTTGAAAAGAGAAAGTTTACCACCCCCCTTTCTTCTGTAAAAGTGGCTAAAAACTTGAAGGACTCTTGTTTAAATCGGAGAGGTTTTTTTTTTCCAAGAAGGAAGAATGGCGTAATGCTGCCTCTGTGTTAAAAGGTTTTTTAAAAAGTTTTGAATCCCTTCCAGTGAAAATATTTCACACACAGAAACCTGCAGGTGCTCAGAAATCTTTTACAAACCTGAACTCAGGAATTGGAAGCGGAATTCCAACAAAAACCTATTTAATTACTCTCTGATGTCATGCTGTCTAAACTAATTTAAGTGTGATATATTTCTTTTAAAAACTCTTCTTTGCCCTTTCCATTAGCATGAGTCATACTCTGCTCCATGTAAAACAGCTCTGTAGGACCAAGACTCTATAGAATATGCAACTTAAAGTAGCAACTTGTTGCCCATTCTAGCCTTAAATGAACTTCACACTGAAAGAGGACAAAACAGTATGAAATCAACAGCCAAAGCCTTCAACTTAATAAGTCTGGAATAAATACATTACAATGTGCTCTAATTCACATAGATGTTTTATAAAGTTCTGAACATTAACAAAAATTCTGAACTTTCTGTTGGTGATGAACGCTAGTAACACAGACTATTCTTTAACAAGGAATAACATATTAATTTTGACGTATCCTAAAAGGTTTCAACAAATGAAGCAAAACTTTGCTCGATGCCTGGGTAGGACATCCTTATTTGTGCTGTCTAAAACCATTTAAATGCCTCTTGGAGATTTTGTTTTTTAACTCATTCCCTGAAAAGCAACCCTGTTACCATTTCTTGTTGTATCCAGCATTAAGCAGCAGCGTCCCCTACAGGAACTTCAAGTTCCTATGAAATAAAGGAACTGAGTTACAGCCAAAAAGAATGATATTAACCTGTTGGTCATCTGTAGATTCTAGACAACAAACACAGAGAACAAAGTTACAGAGCTTCCCTGCTATGTTGATTTCAGAAAAAAGGTAAGAAAATTTGAACAAGGCAGTATTATTTAGAGCATGCCAACATGTGAGTTTTACAGAACCCTGGTCCTCCTTTATGTACCTGAGCCTACAACACCTCCTGAAATGTTTGGAGGGAGGAGCTGTGGCTCAGTGGCAGAGCATCTGCTTTGTAGGCAGAAGATCCCAGGTTCAATTCCAGTTAAAAGAATCAAGTAATCGATGCTGTGAAAGATCGCTTCCTGTGACCATGGAGAGCCATTGCAAATGTGAATAAACAATACTGATTAGTTGCTGTAGATTTTCCGGGATGTGTGGCCGTGGTCTTGGCATTGTAGAACCTGACGTTTTGCCAGTAACTGTGACTGGCATCCTTTAGTCTTGGAACAAAATACTGTGTCCTGTTTGAGTTAGGCTATGTTCAGCCACTGCTGATTTTTCAGGTTGGCCAAGTCTGCAGTGTCTTTCATGTTCTTTTATTCTTGTCTGAATGCTACGCTGTGTGGGCCCAATGTAAACTTGTCCACAACTGCATGGTATGCGGTATACTCCTGCAGAAGTGAGGGGGTCTCTTCTGTCTTTTGCCGATCGTAGCATCTGTTGTATTTTTCTGGTGGGTCTGAATACTGTTTGTAGGTTGTGTTTTTTCATACATTTTCCCATCTGATCAGTGATTCCTTTGATATATGGCAAAAACACTTTTCCTGTGGGAGACTGTTTTTCCTCAGTTTGTTTTACCTTTGGTTTAATTGCTCTTCTGATTTCATTCTTGGAGTAGCCATTGGCCATTAATCGCTGTTCTGATTTCATTCTTGGAGTAGCCATTGGACACAGGACACAGTGTTTTGTTCCAAGACACTGAAAGGTTGGACAACAGTTTCAATTACCATGTCAGATTACACGGGGAAGCCATTGAAATTCACAAACATAAACATAATTTCAATAGGAAAGAAGAGAGTTTAAAAATAAATAGGACATGGCTTCCTGTCCTGAAAAACACAAAAGGCTTTACATCAGACAATAGCACTACAGATAAGATTAGAATTTCAACAACCTCCTCAGGAAGCAGGAAACCTCCTCAGGAAACAAAAGAACCTCCTTAGGAAAGCTCCTTCGTTAGCATGCCCATAGCCTGGGGGACTCCTACAAGATAATGACTCAGCCCCACCCACCTTCTGGAAAAGATATAAATTTACTACCTACCATTTTCTTCTCACCTTGACACAGAGAGTATTCCATCTTTCTGTGTTTATACCTCTGAGGATGCCAGTCACAGTTACTGGCGAAACGTCAGGTTCTACAATGCCAAGACCACGGCCACACATCCCGGAAAATCTACAGCAACTAATGAACTCCGGCCGTGAAAGCCTACGAAAACAATACTGACCTTGATAGACCAATGGTCTGATTCGGCATAAGGCAGTTTCATGTATACTCACTGTGCTTAGAGGTTGTCATTGCTCTGAAGAGTAGTAAGTAATCCCTGAGCAATATTAATAAGCAAAGGATTCTAATGGTGTGTTCAAATGGTTCTACAATTGATTCTAATGGCACATCCAAATGCCTCCAATTTTGGGGGGGGAGTGCATATGCTATACCCTGCATTGTTTCAGATTTAATGAGCCCAAGGTGGACTGCAAAAACACCATGAAGATTAATAAATGGATGCAACATGTGAAACTTCCACACTTGATTTTATGCCCGTAAAGGCAGGATGTCCTGGAGCAAAACCGTTTTTGCTCAGGACACTTCCCCTCCTTGAACTACAGTATTCAGTTGAGATCCTGGAAGAGTGCCATGTGGTTGTCCTTAATTCTCTTGCACATTTGAGATCACAGCCACCTGTACGTATTCAAAACCTTCCTCCTCAGCCTGTATCATTTTATACTCTATATTTTCCTACAATCAGGGAGTCAGTTATTCTTGGTTGCTTCTGATTTCATATTCCAGAAATGTGGGAGACTTTACCATCCAAACCTCCAAGTTCCCGGGAGGTGTGACTCAATAATAATTCCTAAAAGTCTGAAGAATGTGATCAATCTGCTGCAGCTGCTCAAATTCAATGTAATTTCAGATTTTGAGCAACATTCTTGGACAAATTAAAATGTTCAGGATGTTTTCAAGCACTCAAAATTGTTCTAAATTGTATTACAAATGTTTTGCACATGTGTATTTCCTATAGCTGTCCCCTTACCCCATCCATGAGCTGCTCAACCTACCCAATAAAAAAATCTCTTAACTATTCCAGCATTGCTCGTGTTACCTGCCTAGCTTCCAAATCCAAGTATGTCATCAAATATTCTAAATTAGATTGCAAATACTTTATATGGCCTTGCACTATTATTTCAAAATGTAGTTCAGTCCAGTAGTTCTGAGCATGAGCCGACAACAGTGTAGATGATTTTGTATGATGCATGATATCCTTGGGGCAAACATAGTCCTAGCAATTCAGTAAATTATTAGTATGTGCCAAAAATTGTGCCTGTGTAGTTGCAATGCTCAATGGTGCTGACTGCCTGGGTGCAAAACAGCTTGAAATACCACTTGTTTTGACTTGTGAATGCATCTTCATTGTAAGCACATGTGATCCTCATCCAATGTGTATTGAAAGCATAGGAAGTTGGGTTTTCCAGCCTATTTTTAATGATGATCACAGTATCAGTGATAAAAGGTTACCACCTCATCTTGAGGGCTATATCAGCCACTGTGGAAGGATTTATGTGTTTAGGAGCATCAAATCCACAATAAATTAGATGTAGTGTTTTATTTTTGCCATTCACTAACCAACCTCAAATTAACGATATTCTAAAAATTTGGAAAAGGAATGGGGATAGTAGTGGTAGTAACTTCGTTATCAAATACCTTTTGTTTTTTAAAACTGACTTAAAGTTTAATTCAATATGAATTCTTAAGGATATTTTTTCTAAGTGTAATATGATTAAAAACAGAGAAGCTCTTTGCTCACATTATCTCTGTGGACCAGGCTGCCTGTCTTTCAGTCGCTGTACATCAAGATAACTTCTCATGCACTAAAGTTTATTCTTCTAAAATAATGAGACCATTTTTCCTGTATACTTCAGAATATTGATTTGTTTCTACAAATAAGATACAGCTACTGGCCAGAAAACTAAAATAAATAAAATAAGAATGAGTGCAGGTGTCTCAGACTTATGAGAGGGGAATCATTTGACCCCTGTGATTTTTTTCCTGCCAGCATTAAAATGTTGGTTTTGACCATGACCAGAAGCAGAAATATTTAAAGAATATAAACCACACATTAATTTTCTTACTGGTAGTATTCTAATGGCATGAGCAAGTAGCATGATCTCCATTGTACAAACAAAGACTGCCGTCCTAAACCACTAATGAGCTCTATAGCTTTTTGTGCTGATGCAGCAGTTTAAGGAATGAAGAGTTCTACAGAAATAAGAGCACAGGGAAGTTCAACAATCTGACAAAGAATGGATGAATGAGGGGAGAAAGCCTGAGACACAGCCCAACAGGTATCCTGCCTTTGAAAACTGCATTTTTGTAACTAGGGTTGCTCGCTAGGGATGCCAGCCTGCAGGTGAGATCTGGGGATTACAGCTCCAGACTACCGAGATCAGTTGCTCTGGAGAAAATTGAAGTTTTGGAGGGTGGACTCTATGGCATTGTACTCCACTGAGGTTCCTGTTTTACCCAGTATAAAGTATGGAGGCTGATGCGTTGCAGAGTGATT